ATCGTCAGGTCCAGGAAATGTTAAAAGAAGGTATAATTGAGGAAGCGGACAGCCCATATAGCTCGCCGGTACTCTTGGTAAAGAAACCAAATGGAAAGTATAGATTTTGTGTCGACTTCAAAGAATTGAATAATATAACAGACCTGAAGCCTTGTGCGATGCCAACAGTGGTGGAAACATTAGATCGGCTACAGAATGCCACGGTGTTTACAGTGCTGGATTTATGGTCAGGTTATTGGCAACTGCCTATAAAAGAGAGTGATCGGAGCAAGACAGCGTTTACTGTACGGGATAAACAGTATCAATTTAAACGAATGCCGTTCGGGTTGGCGGGTGCACCGTTCACGTTCAGAAGATTAATGACACTACTGCTCAAGAATCTAGATAATGTCGAGGTATATGGCGACGACGTAGTTGTGTACAGTCAAACAGAAACAGATCACATCAAACATGTGGAAGCGGTCTTAAAGCGAATTGACGAATTTGGACTTCGGATTAATAAGGACAAGTCGCAGATAGCGAAAAGTAGCGTCACATTGTTGGGACATAAAGTGGGAAATGGAGAAATAAAACCATTGCCGGAGAAAATTCTTACCATAAAAAATATTGCAGTACCTAATTCGAAAAGGAAGTTGAGACAGTTCCTGGGAAGAGCGGCGTTCTACAGTCGGTTTGTCAAAAATTTCAACGAAATAGCAGCACCCTTATATAAGTTATTGAGCAGCACCAAGTTTACGTGGACTGAGACTGCCGAACAAACGTTCAACCGAATCAAAAACATGCTAGACGATCGCCAGATGACGCTTAGACTGCCCGAACCGGGAAGACTGTTTACAGTGGCCACAGACGCGAGTGATCATGGTATAGGTGCTGTGTTGAGTCAGGCTGATAGAGTGGTGGAATACGCGAGTCGCGTCCTCACACCTGCTGAACAGAAGTATTCAACCATCGAAAAGGAGTGTTTAGCGATTGTGTGGGCAGTGGAAAAATGGAGACCATACCTTTTAGGTAGACGATTTCACATTGAGACGGACCATAAACCCCTGCAGTGGTTGAAAACAGCAAGAGACCCCCGAGGGAAGTTGGCGCGATGGATGATACGCCTGCAAGAATACGATTTCAGTATCGGCCATGTTCCAGGAAAAGAAAACGTAATGGCAGATTACTTGTCAAGACCAGACATGGAAGCCGACCTGCCATTAACAGCATACGCGGTGAATAGTTTAGAGGGAGACCCATTAGAACTCGTCCGGCAGCAGAAAGCTGACCCTAACCTTCGAGAGGTAATCAGAGTGATAAAAGAGGGAGCAGACGTAGATAAACGAACAATGGACAAGGAGGTAATAACGCTGCTTCGGCAAAAGGATCGACTGAGAGTGAACTCATATGGAGTGCTGACCTGGCAGGACGATGATGAAAATTGGGTGGCGGTGATCCCGAAAGACTGGCGGCGTAAAGTGATACACGAGTGTCACCAGGTAGCACATACAGGCATCGCAAGAACGACGGACTTACTACGACAAAGTGCATACTGGCCGAACATGAGAGACGATGTGGCTGAATACGTGTTAACCTGCCAGCAGTGTCAGCTAATGAAAAGCGATCGATACACACAACCGCCATTACAGTCAATCCCAGTAACCGCAGTCGGTGATCTATGGTCGGTTGATGTGATGGGACCGTTTCCACAGACGGCGAGCGGTAACCAGTATCTGTTAGTGATGACGGAACATGCCACACGTTGGGTAGATGCCGTACCCATTGCAGACCAGCGGGCAAGGACAGTGACCGAGGTGGTAATCCGGCATATTGTAGCGTGTCACGGAATACCGAAGATGATATTAACTGACCAGGGTCCCTGTTTTGAAAGTGACGAGTTTAAAGCCCGTTTAAAGCAGTTTGGCATCAAGAGAATACGAACTACACCGTATCATCCTCAGACAAACGGGCTTACAGAGAGAAACAATCGGACGTTAAAGGAATGGTTAGCATCAAAAGGAGGAAATTGGGAGAAAGAGTTACCATTGATTTTGCTGGCACATCGTTCCTCAACACAAGGAACAACCAAGAAGTCACCTTTCTTGCTCATGTATGGCAGACAACCACGACTTCCAATGCATAATAAGACCTGGCCACAACAACAGAAGTGGACGACAACAAGGTTAAGAAAAGAGAGGAGAGAGGCAATAAGGAACGTGGAAAAGAAACAAATATCAGACACAAAGAAGGCAGAACAACAGAGGAGAACGTGGAAACCCTTTGCAGTGGGGGACCTAGTAAAGTGTAGAGAACGAAAAAGTAACATAGCAGCGGGAGCAGGGTCGGGGAAGCTGGCTCCAAAATGGGAAGGACCGTATGTAATCACGGAGAGACGCGGCTCGGTCTACACGATCCGGAGAGAAGACAAGCAGAAGCGCGTAAATGCTAGTCAACTACAGAGATGGTTTCAAGATCATCATGAGTGTGAATCACGAAAAGCACCAAAGAACACAGCGGTACGGAGATCAGAAAGACTACGACAGCAACTTGTTAAAAGGGGGGACGAGTGTGGTGCGTGCTACTTATATTGATATAAGTAGTATATAACGTGAGTCAAAAGAACGTAATGGCTGGCAGCAGAAGATGGAGAAGATCAAGAAAAGAAGAGCGAGAAAACAATGGAATTTGTAAGAAATCGCATGAGCAATGAAATGCGAGACAATGGATTGATGTTTGCAACAGCAACAGCCCGGTTTGATATGATAGAATGATATTTTGCAAATTAACGATTTACTATATGGTTTTTCTAATTTACCAAGTAATTCTGTAATTTGTCCTAAATACAATTTGGCTGTCCTCACCTGTGTTGATGGATACAGAGTCTACCTAGGGGAGTTGGACAACGTGATTCCAAACTAATGGTGCACATGGGCTCCGTTATCCTGAAGGATAAATGTCGTATGAACCAATCGTTGGTCACCAGCTAACATAAGACTGCATCTCCTGACGTTGCTGTACTACATTTTGAATCAGACCTTTAGGTAAAACGTTCCGGGTGTGGCCCCCCTAAGAAAACTACCTGCCTCGGTTTGGTCACCCGTGCAGTATCCCAACCTTCATACAAATCGAATGATCTATGTGGCGCATAACTACTTGGTACCTTTTTGTACCAATATTCAAGTGTTTAAATAAATAATAAATGTGTACATTTTAGTCTGGGGTTATAAAAAAATTTAGGAAACTGATTCAAGTGTACAGTTGGAAAACTTATCATAAACCACCCAGCTTAGATAACAAAACTTCATTGAAATGATCTACCTGACTTATAAATCTTTTCAATCATATCAAAATCATACGAGCATGACAAGTTTTTAATGATTATTTATGATCATTTTAGGAATATACTATTTATAATATTACCAAATTAAAACATTTATTATGAAAAAGACTACATTGAATGCTTATACGATAACATGTAAAAAACAATTTTCACTTAATGATAGATATATCAATGTACATATATTTAAAAGTTACTACATATTACCTATCGTGACTATCGTAACCAATGATTGTAGACTCTTGGTGACATGGCTCAGAATAGAACACAATGATGTCGGTGTATACACTCTGTATCTTCTCTTAAACTATGAGATTAAAATCGCTTCATATCTTTCTTTCTACCAACTAATTCTTTCTTCCTGTACTATATCCTTATATGCAATCCTTCTTTTATATATTACTACCATTGACTTAACCACTAAGAATTCGGTGTTCATCTTGTTGTGCTAATGAGGTATGGCAAATTGGACCGATGCATATATGTGCCTGGTTCTACGTTGTAGCTGACTGACATATTAACTAAACCAATGTGAAATAGCATTTCCTTAATAAAACTGATAAAATAAATTTATAACAGATTTCTTTATAGAAGGAAAGAATAACAGTATTTTAAACAGTAATGACCATAGGTATTGTGTATGACAGTTTGGTTGATTACAATAGGCAACTAAGAAATATTGACTTTTTTTTAATGTTTATCTGTTTATAAGATTAAGTAAGCATTTAGATTCTAGAGTCTATAAAATATCTTAACCTGGTCAAGTGTATTATTAATTCTTTTCTTCATTATTACAGTAGTGTATGCTACATATGTTGGCAGACATAAGTAGTATGTAGCAGCAGTCGGAAAGGGAATGCCTGCCAACAGAAGAATGAAATGAAGAGAAAAAGAAGGAAATCGAACAGCAACCGAGATAACAACAGAATCAGAAGAATAATGAAGTATGTAAAGGACACTGCAAATAAGTGCAAATGATGTACTTAATGTATAATTTCCATATTTTGCTTAGCAACTGTATAATTGTGCATTAAACCTGAGTTCTCGTTCACTACACTACTACTTCTTTTGAAACCGTGAAAATGAAACAGTAGGAAACGCTGATTTATAGAGGGAAATATCACACTATTACTACATACATAACTTCAGAACTTAAACACAAACATTGGTATATGGAGGCATCAAATATATATGCGCCACACAAATGGTTCGATTTGTGTGAGGGATGGAATACCGCCCGGACGCCCAAACAGAGCATGATATCACAGTGTAGTGAACGAGAATACCAGTGGGGCACAACCAAATGTATTTGAACACAAAATTACAGAATGTCTTACTAGAATCTGAGAACCATATAGAGTAAATACTTCATTTACAAAATATCACTCAATTGTCTCGGATTAAATTGTTTCTTCGTTTCACACCAATCACCCTCTGATCTCATTCTCTTCGATCTTAATCTTCTGCCTCCAGACATTCGACTTTGGATTGGTGGTACATACTACTTATATCTATTGACATCAGTAGCATACATCACAATAGTATAATAGCAGAAGTTTTTCTCGAGTATACCTTTGAGAAAATTTAACTTGTACACAACTTCTAGCATCAATGCACATAAATGTCTACATAACATTGGAAACGTGTAATACTAATGTTTAAATCAACAATAATGAAAACTTACATTGAAGTTTTTGTTCCCGTATAAGAGACACGTGTTTTACGTCGTAAACGTGCAGCTATTGGCTCGTCTTCACTATAGTTAATGAATAGTTATTTTTTTGGAAAAATGAAAACAAAATATAATATAGTTGGAAGAATGAACACTGAAATTTAGATGAACATTTATTGAACAAACTTTCATATCAGAAGGGGTTTTGTGGAGATTGTAGTAATTTCAGTGGTCGAGATCACTAGTCAATTGAAGCTAGACCACCATGGAAAACCTGAAACCACTGATAGGTCCTGGGTTCGAGTCCCGCGAGGCGGGGTCTTGGATGCGCATTGATGAGGAGTTCCATAATAGGACGAAACAGCCGACCAGTGTTTCCAGGTTTTCCATGGTGGTCTAGCTTCGATTGACTCATGATCTCAACTATTGAAGTTACTATAATATCTACAAAAACCCTTCTGATATTATTCAATGGTGTGCTAGACCAACTCGAAAACCTCCCTTGTTTTTTTAGTAGGTTAACTTGCTTAAGTTTCATAGTTTATTTATTTTATTATTATTATTAGCTATATTCAATATCTAGGAATGAAGTGAGAAATACTCTATCAATATGATTAGATTAATTATTGAAGACAAAGTTGAGAGTAACAAGTGAGATTTTTATTCTCATAGGTAATTAGTGATCTCTGTGTTTGATAGAATAATGTTTTACAATCTTATGGATATTTATTTGATTTATAGTTGTAAAATTTGGTGATGATTTTGATATAGACATGGAGCACTGTATTACTTGTTAAAACATCATTGGATAGCTTTGAGTCGAAGCTTAGAACATCCACCCCAAATACCTACCTACTTCAATCTGGACAGTTAGGGGTAGTATCACTAGTGTTTTTTATCCTGATTGTATTCTCTTTCTGTCCTTTCTTCTTTGAAATGTTATATCTGTGTGTTATGTGTTGTATGCTGTTTTTGATGCCCATTTGTACCAGATTTTGTATGTATTAAATAAGTGAGAACAAATACAGAAATTTATCTCTTAAAGATGCGAGATAAACATGATAGTCCGTCCATTAAGGAAGAAATATAAGTTTAATCCTAGTCTGTAGCATCACAGCAACGATCATCAATCAAACCCTATGCAGAGAACTAGGAACCTTTGGGTTTTTTCATATTAATATGAAGGTTCCGATTGCTAAATGCATACACCGAATAAATCCTAGAATATAATAAGATGATTAATACACATGTTATTTTCGAAAAATATGACGGTACTGAATTTGGACTTGTGGCATTCAAAACAGAACACTTTAGAATTAATAAAGGGACTGAGTAGTTGCATGACTACTCCAGTTTTTAGTGATTTCGTCGAATTATATCACTTCATCAAAGAAATTAACATGAAAATCAATACATATAGATGCACCAATTAATTTATGATTGTAAATCAGCATGTGGTAAGACTCACATGTTATAAGCGACTTGTACCCTTGGTTTTTTCTAAAAATAGATCACAAAATATAAAATAGTGCAGTATTTAAACAACCGGTTATTCAAAAAGAGGGTCCACTTTCCCTCTTCAAATGCTATCATATGGCCACGCACATTTATATGATTAATACTCCCCACTATAGTACGACTGCTTTATCATTTTAGCTACGAATTAGTGAGGTAAAAAGTATAAGAAAACTCTAAAAACCAGAACCAATAGACAGGCGAAAACTGAATCCATTTTCACTATGCAAACCGATTTTGAGATACATCACTCCATGTCCTTAATTATTAATCGTGGTAATCGGGTGGACCTCAACCAGGATTAGAACAATAGTCAATTATTTTGTGGACTGACATCACGTTTTGATTTGACCGGTCCCACTTTTTCTCCAACATATTACTACATCAACCGATATTACATTGAGACAGACGATGATCGGGTATGAGTGACGCATGTCCCAACAACCTCAGTCGATGACAATTCACAACTACACCAATGGAATCGCTTATTACCCTGCGTCTAACTTGATTAGTGCTCACTAGAATGTTCTAACATACGCGAGAATGTTTCACATACGACGAAATACTGGTAATCTATAAATTTTCTCTGAGCATGAATATATTGCATAGCAGATTGCTGACTCGTTTGATAACTGTGACATTTGATTTCCTAAACCAAAGTTTGAATAGCGGGAACAATCGGCTATGGGGATGGCCTTGGCTGGTTTATCCGACCTGAATATACCGCAAGTGCTTTTACAAGACTGAACTGAAAATAAAGCCGTTGAAACGTTCTCTACAAACAATACCAGCCTAGAATATAAAATAAACAAGATGTTTAAATTTTGAGATGTGACCATTTGAAATCACTTCAGCGTACTTCAAAACCGATTCAGACTACTGGATCACTACAAAACAATCTTTAAGATGTGACTAATTTTTAATTCAATCTGACCAATACTGAAACTTAAAGTCCCGACCGTTGTTGCTACCTTGAAGTGGTAGTCGGGCTTACCTATCGTGATGAAGCAACTGAGCTATACTGGCTGGAACAACTGTTCCTCAAGGTCCTACCATGTCAGACAGGTTGGTTGATAAGCGGTAAGACTAAAAGCAACAAACCCAAGGTCCGAAGGCGAAGTCATACTGCTGACTGTACAGAAGTGTGACAGCAGTAAGGTGTTTCCTTCAGACAACCAGCATGACAGCGATGCTGCCTTCCCACAAGGAGGGGTGGGGTTAGAAAAGGTCGACCCTAAAAATGTACACCTCGCCTTATCCCACGGATATCCGTCTCCGGCGGTAAGGTCCCAAAAAGTACGGAGCTGACACAAAAATTACCCATAAAAAGGTCGTGTGTGACCGACCTCAAGCAGTTGTCCCTTGGGCACTGCGGTCACGCTCCCAGGTTACTAAGACCACCTTTAATCCAATTTCTTTTTCAGGTACCTCCAGAACAACCCTTCCATGGCGTGGGCAACCGGGAAATGATAACCGCTCTCATACCTCTAACAGCATTCAGGACCACTGTATTCATAATCAACGTCCGACTGACTGAAACTTAAAGTACGATATGCAAAAAGAAATAGTTTTTTTTAAAAAGGTACCAACATACCCGAACAGTAGATGGCTGATGAATAATTGAGTCATTTTCAGTTGAATTAGAGGTTGACATTTTGCTGTGATCCAAAGTAGATGAAGTGCTAACATTCGCACGTCTTCTTCTCTGAGTATTGGCTGGCTGTAATCGCCTGTGTCGAGGAACAAGTGTTGGAGGGGTTACAGGATCGGCAATGACTACTGGGGAATTCATTACTTCAGACAGATGAGACGAATTAGTTCGTTTGCTTAAACGGATCAAATACATCAAATTATTTTACTTTAATCAGATCAGTTGTATTTATGATAAGCTTTACAGAATAAATTTTACATGTAGGGTGAATGAATTAGTTAGCTGAACATAACATAGGACATGTGTGCGTCGGTTCAAGTTTGCACACCACAACAGCATAACCAGATGTGACAATGGTATGTGCGGAAATAGCATTAACAGAGGTGACAGATGAATCATGCAAGATATCGTTCGAAAAGAAAATATGGATTCGTGCAGTGAATAATTAAGACTTGGAACCTACATGAGGACCATTTTGAACGATTTTGAGTCAAGTCACTCAGTCTCTAACCCTTGGTCACAATAATCGCATGGAGCCCAACTAGGTAGTATGTACCTATATGCATAGCTTAGTTCAATAGCCAATGGTTTCATGGACTTACTTCACGTTTGCCTTAGACACCCTTACCTAGTTCTTTCTTCTAAATTTGTGCAGACATCACTTACAGTTTTATGGGACTTTGTGACGATCATGTTATACAAAATCTTACCTTTTTGTTGACCTCATATTTGGATTCTTTTGGGCACTTTTCGTCATCACTAAACATTCAGACTGATGAGACAATGACTGGTCACTGACGATAGGAGTTGCCTTGCGTCTGGGTCGAAGCTGCCGAACTGTCGAAGGAACGGCAAAAGTTGATTGAACCGATGAATTAACGACTGAACTATCAGGTGAAATTTCACGTTTTCTTTTGGCATGACACTTTTTAACCGTAGCAATCTCTGGACATACTTCTTTGGATGGTGAAATATTCTCCTTATCTGGAGATGTGTAATTAGCAACTGTTTGTTCATTACATTCCTTCTAAAATGAATTTTCACAAAGAAATGATTAAAAATGATCTGTATGGCTAATTTACATTGTTTACCATTCTTTTTCATATTTTCATTTAAGTATGAAGCAATCAGTACAATCTGAACATGTTCTCTTAGGTTTCCATTTTTGTACTTTTGCAATCAAGTTCCTATTAGTTTCAAAGACCCATAAACCGTTGGATTTAAGGTTAAATACAAACATTATATAAGAACTACGATAAAAGAAAACACACCTGGGGATATTTAGTTAGACGGGGAGTAGACTCATTAACAGGTGATGATGTGAACAATCCATACTGTCTAGAGGATCCCATATGTGAACTTGTCCGCAAATCACCGATTCTAGAAATTCTATTTGGTTTCAGTGACAAAGAAATATCGAGTGAAACTATGTCACATGAAGTTCGAAGGCTAAGTTATAAGGTGAGAAAGACAAGTAGTAAAAGGTTAAGACAGTAAATACAACTAAAAAACTTATTATCATCAGGAATAAATATCATAATTAGGGAGAAAGTCAATCAGTCAGTTATTCATAACGTTGAAAAACCTACCTTGTGTTCCCATAGTTATCAAAAGTGAGAGTGTATTTTCTAGCTGTATCAAAAACAGAAGTCCTCCGATTACCCGACTCGTCGTAAATTGAACAGTCACCATTTGTTGTACCATCAAAGATGTAAGATCTGTCCACAAAAGACTGACCAGGTGGTGTCCGTGGAATTTTATCTCGCTTTTGAAAAGGATCCATGTACTGAATCACAAACTCTGACCCTGAAGATTAGCAAGACAAAAGAGTTGAAACACCACTTCAACAAAAATGAAATCCGAAAACTTGTCAAATATAAGAAAACCAGGCTGTAAAACTGCCAAATGTGTTCTGCACTAATAGCTGTCAGTAAGTCACCTCCCTAAAATATAAGTTTCAAAATATCTTGAACGTAAATTCTCTATATTCGCACTAATACAACCTGAGTCAACATGCAGCATTGCCCATAAATAGTAAAGAAACCGTTTTATCTTCCAACGAAATAAAATTACTTAGGCAGTCTTGTTTTATAAACATAATGAAGGAAAATCAACAATCATCACTACTTATCACATATGTGGTGAACAATCAAGATAGGTCTGTTTCCACCCACAACAACCTGAGAATTATGGCGAACCACAGCCTAAAAATGCAGACAATCACGTTGTATTCGCACTACAACCGTGATCAGAGGCTAACGACCTTGAGTGTGATGACGCAGATGTACTGAAACCCTATGTATTGCTCGATTTTGAATTGCAATACTATTTCGTACTTTTAACTTTCCGAATTCATCACTTCTTTCCGAACCATACTGCTGTTTACATATAATTTCTAGGGTTAAAACGTTTCAAGCCCTTACTTAATAACTGACAAATTACGAGCCCAAAAGATTGTTATGAGCAAGACTGACGAGATGCTCGGGTTGATAAAAAATGAACGATTTGAATTTTGGTAACGGATTCCAAGAAATATATCTCAACTCGAGTTAAACTGTTTTCCTTAACTAGACTTTGATTAGAATACAGAAAAATCTATCAGTTGCATACCTTCTGGCACACAGATTTTCTCACTGGCTGGCCAACTATCGGATGGATTATTACCATAGTTGATCTATTCGAGAGACAAATCATACGCAAAAACTGGTAAGAATCTTTTAGTCTTTTGATTATGAACCGAAAACGCACTTGTCTACGCGAAACTCATTGGAGTCTAACAAATTATGGAGTAACTGGACCAAAGCCCTCTAACATAATTCAAGCTCATATAGTAAATAGAGGATTTTAGGTGTTAAGTCATCATCCAAGTGTTAATGCTTTCATTAACTGCATTGAGTGATTGAGATTTCACAACTTAAAGAATAGTAAAAATCAATCAGATGTGAAATTCTTACTCTAAGACAAGTAAATCAGTCTACACGAACCGAACGAATTTACGTAACGTACCAAGGTCACCGTTCCGAAGAAACGAGGTTATCCATCCTCATTTCAATACTTATTATTGGTAATATAAAGCAGTTGTAAAATTTGTTCGATTGCCGTGGTTTTAATCACGGGTTGACATGAATTAAAAAGAAACTGAAGAATATGGGGTACTTTTTTACGTCGAAGTGTCTGACTTTTCAGGGGTGCGAATCCAAGATCTCAGCGCCACAGGCGTAGCCTGTATACCACTCACCCCAATCAAAGATCTTGGATTTTTTATGACTTAACACCAGTCTTATGTACGCCGTGATTTATATTTCCCGTTGGATTGTTGAGAGGGTAGACTGATTTCGTAACATGCTAAATAGCATAAACAAATACTACGTCCACAAACAAAAAATAAAACATTCGAGGAGGTAGGGGTCAAAAACCACCTAGGTCTACCACTGTTTGGAAAGCGTTTTGAAGAGGAGTGCTAAGGCGAAGATTTAAGTAAACGGGTTTTGCCTTGTAGCGGTAAATAAATCCCCAAAATAAATAGCTCTGTAAGTTTTCGACATTGGATGCTGACCAGATTACTTTTAATATACTCACCTAGCTGAAGGCGCTCGGTCATGAATCCGCACCAGATCGCGTGTGGGAACACCGTGCTCAACTACTACTGCAATCGCTAGCCAGATTAGGTCAGATAATTCCGATATAATGGCAATCGTCAAATACAACTTCTGATCTCCTCGATTCTGTCTTTTGATTTCTCTTGGTGGGTACGAGTTATATAAGAATGTGTTGCTGGTAAAAGCGTTGTCAAACACTGAATACCTGTGCCGTCTTCATCGGTGAGCCTAACGTGATCTGGTACACCAAATCGTAAACTGTGAGTCTGTTCCATTTTGAGATTTTATATATCATTGCTTTATTTTAATTTTTTATACATTGTGATATTTTTTCCCTGCGTTTTCGGGATATTTATATATTTTTCACTCGTGTATTCTAGTGCTTAATTTCCCCCTATGACTAAACAGACCACCAAGGTATTTAAGGTTAAGACTATGTTCCCACCCTCGTTCCAGCTCATGCCCTTCTGGCCCGACAATATCGAAGCCTGGTTCTGCAACGCAGAAGCCGACTCCCACGAGCACGGCGTGAACGACACACGTGCACAATTCCTCGCAGTAGTCAAGGCACTACCGCGGGAATTCAACAGGTACGTAACATCTAGTATGTTTGCTAGCGATGTTTCTGAACCGTACGAAACATTAAAGCGTTCCATCCTTAAACGAGGAGACCTAACCGATTGACAAAGGTTAGACCAACTCTTTAATAACATAGACCTGCAACGCGGTTCTGCGACGGACATGTTGCAAAGGATGAGAGAGGTTATAGGACTAAGAACTTTCGACGAAGGCCTATTCAAACAACTTTTCTTGTCCAAACTTCTCCAACAGGTGCAAGCGGTTCTGGTCTCGTTTCAGAACAACGCCTTAGACGAACTGGCTGCATCTGCCGATCGCATTTTAGAAATTACGAGATCTTCTACCGAGGTTTTTCCGTCAAAAAAGCCTCAAACGACTCAGAATGGCATAACCGAGTTATGTCATACACTTACACGTTATCTTAATCTTTGTAACGACCGTAAGCGATCACACACCCCACGTAGAAGCACTTCACGTAAGCGATCTGTCTCTAGACCACGAGAGACGGATAATCCTGACTGGTGTTGGTAACACAATCAGTATGGAAAGTCTTCCAGAAATTGCAGAAAAGCCTGCAATTTTCCCATCTCAAAACCGACTGACTCGAAAAACAACTCGGGAAACTTCCAAGCCGGCAATCGTAGCCGGCGGACATAGCCGTCTGTTGTATGTCACAGATGTGACAACGAGAGTTCGCTACCTCGTAGATACTAGCGCAGATGTTAGCATTCTCCCAGCGAATCCCAACGACCGGCTTCACGAATCGGCTCTAAACTTACAGGCGGCAAACGGAAAACCTTTCGCTACGTATGGCAAAAGGTACGTTTACCTTAACGTGAGCTTACGCAAACCCATTCACTGGATCTTCGTTGTTGCAGATGTTTCTATGCCAATCATTGGTATGGACCTTCTACAACACTATAATGTGATCATCGATACGCGCAAACGGAGGCTAGTGAACGGAAACACTAATTTATCCGTTTGCGTAACTTCTTTTTCTGGCTGCAGATTATCCCCAGTCACAATTAAGCATATGATAGACCTGTAACAGCTTAGGTTGGTTGGTTAAGAGTTGACCCCAAACAACCAAGCATATGCCAAAACAGTATTGTTCAAGTATTCATTCACTTCCTTATTTTGTATTATTTTGTATCATGCATACTTAAATCAAACCAGAAAAGGGTATTTGACACAATTGTACTTGATCCGCATACTCTACACAATTTTTTTGCTTCTTAACCGTATATTCTTTTCCGTTTTGTGGAGTACAATTATGCACCCTTGGTTACGTACCTGGTTATAAAAGGCTGTCATACATTTGATCGGGTTTGACAATGAGTCCAACTTCCAGCAAGTTTGCACTTTTACATATATGCATTATAAAAAATTATTTTTTTGTTTTCATACCTTTTCGTACACAAGATGGCTACACTATGTCTATTTTCTTCCAGAATACCAATCCTTTCTGGAGGCCAATCACTTACGTGGAACCGAACAATTATCAATTATATTTATGTATTTCCATTTTGTATCTTATTATTTTTATGCAGGCAGTGGAGCAGTTCTTCAGGTTTGATTGGTTTTCACCATTACCTTTGAAGTAGATTCTTCTTTACTTTTTACTTGAGGGCGACTCAAGAGGCAGGTGAGTAAACACCTGATAGCCGGTCTGAGCATGGAAAAATCGTACCTCACCAACATGGTGTTGGGTAGCCCGCTCGCGACACTTCCTCAGATATTCTCATTCCACATTCTCACACTCTTTCTCTTGAAAGCACGCAGTAAACCGTCAGCGATAGTTGTAGAATAGATCACATGCTACAAAATAAGATGACAAGCTAGTAAATGAGGAGACATCCATGAACTATCGTTGACAGCGTCAGTCGTCACTGATTGTAAGTCAAACAGTTAGCGAGTTGATAATTTTCCCTTGGCATGAGAAATAGAACTAAGGTGTTTTCGATAGATAGGTTAATCGAACCGACGTTCCTACGGAAGTCGATTCTAGGGGGAAGCTAATGTAACACCTTAGGTTGGTTGGTTAAGAGTTGACCCCAAACAACCAAGCATATGCCAAAACAGTATTGTTTAAGTATTCATTCACTTCCTTATTTTGTATAAGCGTTATATTCCCTAATATCTTGTATTGAATGTTGAGAGCCTTTGTTTGTCTGAACAGATAATCCCACGCTCCACTGTGACTGCGCGAAGATCGAAATAAAGACCTATTCACTACTTCTCTGGTTTCTTCTATCAATAGCACGAGGGTTACCTTAAGGCACGAAAGACCCACTCTATCAACCACTAGTCGATAAGTACCCTGGGATACAACAAACTCAACCGAAACTACCGTGTGTAACCAGCAACGTTACACACCACATCACGACTACAGGACCACCTGTATTCTCTAAAGCACGAGGACTAGCTCCCGAAAAGCTAAGGTTAGCGAAAAACATGTTCGATCAGATGATAAACTTAGGGGTCATACGACCGTCAAACAGCCCATATGCATCTCCGTTGCACATGGTCCCTAGAAAGGACAGTAACGATTGGCGTCCAATTGGGGACTATCGGCGATTGAATGCAAAAGCCATTCTTGATCGTTACTCGTTGCCTCACATTCACGATTTGACAGCTACCTTGAAAGGTACAACTGTTTTTTCGAAAATCGCTTTGGTTAAAGCGTATAATCAAATCCCTATGGCTACTGACGACATACCGAAAACCGCCATCATTACTTCCTTCGGACTCTATGAATTTTTGCGAATGCCTTTCGATCTAAGAAATGCTGCTCAAACATTCCAAGGATTCATAGACGACGTTTTCCGAGGTCTCAACTTCGTTGACGACTGCCTAATCGCAAGTCCGAACAGAGAATCACATCTCAAGCATCTGGATCTTGTTTTCGACTGACTACAAAAACATGGCATTACCGTAAACTTTCAGAAATGTCCAATCGGAACTGACTCATTAGATTTCCTAGGACACACTATAGATGCTCAAGGCATTCGACCCCTTAAGACCAAAGTGGCGGCAATTCTGGATTACTGAGAACCGACCATGATTAAGCAACTACGAATGTTTAACGGCCTCGTCGATTCTGTCTTTTGATTTCACTTGGTGGGTACGAGTTATATAAGAAGGTGTTACTGGTAAAAGCGTTGTCAAACACTGAATACCTGTGCCATCTTCAGGCTTTTCCTTAACTCTCTCCCTCTCTCACACACATAGACACCAGGTAAGAGACTTTTTCAATACCGAATGTTTTGTATGTATGTGGCGACGTATTAGGGTTAAGATAAGACTCTAGGGGTGTCAAGTTGAATAACAGATTGTGCTTACCTGTTTCTTTTGATAATATGTGTGTTATCATCACTGTTTCTTACTGGCTCCATGATCGTGACCGACAAACAGTCTGGTGTCAAATATTATGGCCCTGTAGAACTAGGGTCTACCTCGTCATTAGCACTGCTCTAATAATAGATCTAATCCTAAAATTATAGATTTTTCATGATGTGACTACCTGATCTATAAAATCTTACGTGGACGTTACATCTTTGTCTAAACTAACTAATCGTATCGTAACAATTACCAACATGTCTGAAGTTTCTAAAGAACACCTTCAGGCCAGAGATAGAGCAATATATTTATTGGAAGACAAGTTATGCAGAATGACCACGTCTGCGGGGCTGAGCCATGCCATCCAGTTGAATCTTGAGTGAATTCTTACCTCCTTCTCGATTATTGACCTACCCTTCGGGCTAAATGTTGAACATGCATTTTCCCAGTTATCTTATGTTCGGCTTTGAGGATTGTGTTGTTAGAACTAATACTGCATA